CAGCAGCAGCAGCAGCAGCAGCAGCAGCAGGCAATGCTTGGTGTGGTGTCTCTCCACCTGCAGCGCATGCACACAAACTGCAGCAGCAGCAGCAGCAGCAGCAAGAGCAACCAGAGCAAGAACAGCAACAGCAGCAGCAGCAGCAGCAAGACGAAACGCTTGAGCAGGAGAGTAGTAGCTTACTACTCGAATCGCCGTTGCTGCAGCAGCAGCAGCAGCAACAGCAGCAGCAGCAGCAGCAGCTGCAGCAGCAGCAGCAGACGGCGAAGCAGCAACAGCCTGAAAGCAGCAGCATATCCGCACAGTTGCTGCTGCAGCATCAGGAGACATTGGAGCTTCATATGCCTTCACCTCGTGCAGCAGCAGCAGCAGCAGCAGCAGCAGCAGCAGAAGAGCAGCAGCAGCAGCAGCAGCAGCAGCAGCATTTCAGAGAGGACCCTCAAAATGCTGCATGCGCTGTTAGCCATGGATCCTCTCTGGACCCCATGGGGCTGAATCATCTGCTGCAGCAGCAGCAGCAGCAGCAGCAGCAGCAGGTGCAGCAGCAGCAGCTGCTGCTGCTCAAGGAGCAGAAGCAGCAACCCCCTGCATCCCCCCTCTCGGACCTGCTGCTGCAGCAGCCTGCTGCAGCAGCACCTGCTGCAGCAGCAAGAGGCTCCCTGCGTCGTGCCTCAAACGGAATATCTGCTGCTTGGCAGCAGCAGCTGCAGCAGCAACTGCAGCAGCTGCAGCAGCTGCAGCAGAAGCACCCGCACCACCGCCACCACCACCGCCATCACCACCACCAACACCACCAACAGCAGCAGCAGCAGCAGCAGCAGCAGCAGCAGCAGCAGCAGCGGGGCCGCATAAGAAGAAGCATTTCGTCTCCTTTTAGCTTCACCCCCTTCCCCCGCAGCAGCAGGCTGCTGGACGAGCTGTCTCCTTTGCAGTCTCCATACACTGCATGCAGCAGCAGCAGCAGCAGCAGCAGCAGCAGCAGCAGCAGCAGCATTAGTAGCGCTGCTGCTGCAACTGATCCTTGGGGGTCGTCGTTCACCGTGTCTCCTGCTGCTGCATCTGCTGCTGCTGCTGCTGCAGCAACAGCAGCAACAGCAGCAGCAGCAGCACAACAACACGACAATACAAACTCCTGCATCTCACCAACACAAACAGGAATGTATCAGGGTCCCCTGCTGCAGCAGCAGCAGCAGCAGCAGCAGGAGCAAGTGCTGCAGCAAGCAGCAGAAGCAGCAACAGCAACAGGAGAAGCAGCAGCAGCNAGCAGCAGCAGGAGCAAGTGCTGCAGCAAGCAGCAGAAGCAGCAACAGCAACAGGAGAAGCAGCAGCAGCTGCTGCTGCTGCTGCAGCAGACAACTGGAGCATGCATGCAGAAGCAAGCCCCAAATTCGCCGGTGAGCCTTCGCCGGGGTTTAGTAGGAGTCCTGGCAGTGTCTGCAGCAGCAGCAGCAGCAGCAGCAGCAGCAGCAACAGCACTCTTACCAGCCCTGTCAGCTACGGGGCTGTGCTGCGGCAGCAACAGCAGCAGCAGCAGCAGCAGCAGCAGCAGCAGCAGCAACTGGATCTGCTGCACCTGGAGGATGCTGCTATTTCAGATGGCAGCGCAGCTTATGAAGCAGCAAGAAGAAACCTTAAGGTATTTTTGCTGCTGCTGCTGCTGCTGCTGCTGTTGCTGCTGCTGCTGCTGCCGTTGCTGTTGCTGCTGCTGCTGTTGCTGCTGCTGCTGTTGCTGCTGCTGCTGTTGCTGCTGCTGCTGTTGCTGCTGCTGCTGTTGCTGCTACTGCTGTTGCTGCTGCTGCTGTTGTGCCTGCTACTATTGCTAGTGCTGTTGCTTCTGTTGGTGCTGCTCTGCTTGCTGCTGTTGTTGCTGCTGCTTGTGTGGTTGCTGCTGCTGCTGCCGGTTGCTGTTTTCGTTGCTGCTGCTGCGAATCGTTGTTGCTGCAGCTGCTGCTGCTGCTGTTTGCATGCGTTGTGTCTCAGCGTGCGGCAGCAGCAGCTCATAGTGGGTCGTCTCCTGCTGCAGAAGCAGCAGCAGCAGCAGCAGCAGCAGATGCAGCAGCAGGAGTGCTGCTGCAGCAAGTGCAGCAGCAGCTGCTGCAGCACCACAATAGGCTGCGCCGGTTGTCTTCCAACGACCGAGCAGCAGCAGCAGCAGCAGCAGCAGCACCAGCGGCAAGCAGCAGCAGCCCCCAGTCGCACCGCAGCAGCAGCAGCAGCAACGGCAAAGAGGACCCCCTGCTGCTGCAGCTGCAGCAGGCTCTAGAAGAAGCAGCAGCAACTTGCTCACG